TCCTAAAGAGGAAAAAGCTCTTCAAGGCTATTGACAATTCACCAGTAGCTGCTTGAGAAAGAGTATTTGGTAAAAACGGTGGATTTCTTTGGCGCCTATAGAAGCAATTTTTTCGGTCGAGAAGATAGAGCTTTAACTTCTCTACAAACCTATATCCGTGCTGAAGAGAGACGGATAAATACTGAAAAGGAAAAAGCTTTTGAATAGTGTTCACAATTCAGCGCTAACTGCTGGAGGTAGAGTATTTGGTAAAAAAAGGACGATTTCTTTGCTACCTATATAAGCGATTTTTTCGGTCGAGAAGATAGAGCTTTCAAATCTAATTGCGAGATAAAGTAATTCATCAATCATTTATTTATTTCACAGAAAAAGACAGTGAAGTTTTGAATTTGTATCAAAAAGTTGTTTTCAACACTAAAGTTAGGTGAAAGACATTTGTACATTATAGATGGAAAAATTTGTATTGATTGCGATTGTTTCCTTGTTCTTTTTGTCTAATTATTTTCAGGCATTGGACTGCGAATGGGAGAACTGGTGTCGACACAGTGCAATGTTTCTTCCCTTCGCTTGATAAGTTCAATTGATTATCATTAATCTGTGGGACATTGGATTGTATGAATTGGCATGTTGAAAAGTTAAGAGAGTTTCTTTTATTTCTCTTCTTTTCTTGTTAGGCATAATTTTCTTTTGATTGTATAGCAGGCAGTTAGGGCTAGGTCGTAACAGACTCCGATTTTTGAAATTCTCTTTTGCTGAAATATAAAACTGAGATATTTCATTTTTATTGGCGCTTTGAATTTGAAAATTTTTCGAAAAAGTATTATTGAAAATCAAAGGAAGGGAAATTCAAAAATCGGACTCTATTACGACCTACGTCTAAGGGCACTCTACAATTTAGAAACCACGCCGACATGCTTAGCTACTATCCCTATTGTGAAAACTTTTCCCGCGTAAAGGGTAATGAATAGACTAGAACTTTTGTATATCTTTGACATTTGGGGGAGATATTTTAACCATAATCTATTCTAGGCAAGACTAACATTCACTGAAATTTTGGTTGAAATCGGATGAGAAAATAACAAAGTTGGTTTCTGAGGGTTTCCCCTCTTAATAAGATTCTGAATAACCGACAAAGCTGATTATGAGTATCAATTATTTTTTAAAATAAAACTCTTTTCTTCAGCATAATCTTACGTTAATTCGTAAGGTTTTGATCACCGTCATAATTTGAATATATCTCAAGAAAATTGTTAAGCAAAATAATTGAAATAATTACTACTAATTAGTAAGTAAAAGATACTCAGAAAAGTCATTTTGAAATGTTTTTTACATGGAATTATATCTACAAACAATTCTCTACAAAACTACACCAGACTCAGCTGAAGATAATGTACATTTGAAAAACCAGAAAATTTTTAAAAATGCATCTCAAGCCCAAAAAGTTAATTGATTTTGAACTTAATTAATTAATAACTCGGTCAATACTTGATGAATTTTTGTTTATTGCATAGGTATACTATTGGAGGTAAGTCCTACACACTGACAAAGTTTCAGGGTATGTTAGGGTGAGAACAACACCCCCCCCCCCCCCCCTTCAGAATAATTGGTAAAAATTTCATTCAATCAAGAACAGTGTCTCTTAGGAATCTATGTGTTTTTTTTATAGACTCAAAGAAATAATACGAAGAATTGATATCTCTAAAAGGTTGACATTATTAATTATTAATTTATGTAAATATGTAAAAAATAATCGATTTCAATATGACCAATTCCAGTCAATTCTATGAATTGAAATAGAAATTAATGCATCTCTACACGGTATCGGTGTTGATGAGAATTAGAAGTAAATGATTTCAATGATATCTTATTTGCAATTGTTGTGTACTTAAGATAAATACAAATTTGATTCATTTTCGATTTGTTAATTAATCTAGTAATAGAAAATCTTTTCATTAAATTTTATCAAATAATTTTTTTTAATATCTGAAAAATATGTGATTTTTATTCTAATGTATTACCTTTTGAGATAAAGAGAAAAAAATTAAAAATAAAATATTAGAAATAAAAAATTAATTATAATAATGTTTGTCAAATGTTTCAAGAATATATTTGTAATGTTGAAGAACATTTTCATATTGAGTAATTCAATAAATTTTTCGAATTTCTAGATTTGTTATTTGAAGATCAGGATGTTTATTAGACTATACAAAAAGAAGAATTTATTTATTAAATTAGAATCAAATAAAATAAATCAAATATTTTACTTGTATTGAATGAAAAAGACGTTGTTTAACAATTAATCGAAAGCGTTTCATTTGTTCATCATCATTTTGATTAATTGATCGAAGAAAATACATTTTCATAAACATGTCGTGTTCGTTGCTAAAATTATCCCAATTAAATTAATAAAATAAAATAAAATAAATACACAAAAAACTTACTTTAGTTAATTTACGAACTTCTTGTGCTTTATCAATCATTTCTTTTGTTAATCGATTTACTTTATTAATTGATTCTTTTGAAAATAAATCAGGTAAATATTATAGCTATTATTAAATTTCATCTAAAAATTTTTAGAAGATGATATATGGTTAAACAAGAGATCAAAGATTTAAAAAGCAATTATGAATATGCACACAATGAATCTGGTTTCATACAATAGCTGATAATTTTCATTACTCGTTTACTGACTGTATTGTTTATGTACCATTTCATCTGAAAATATATCAAAGATTGACGGATATTGAGATCTTAGGCATACAAAGAAGTTCAACAGGAGTTTCGAAATGCACCTTTTTTTTTAAATAAGATATTATCTCTTGACCCTTTCTTTTAGAAAAATTTCGAATACCTGTAATATCTTGAACACGAGAATCATTTCGTAAATCATTATAAATAGATTTCAAAAGACGTCGACCATGACCTTTTCTTTGATATGGTGGTAAAATTAACATTTGACTAACAAAAGTAAAAAAGATTGCCAAGTGAATAATACATGAAAGGTTTTTCTTACCTAATTTTTGGTCGTTTTTTATTGGAATAAGTATAATGAAGATAAACTTTAGTAAATCCAATCGGTGCATAACATATTTGATTATTATCATTTTGATATTGTTGATAAAGAAGATAAATAAACCAATTTTGATCTTCTTCATTTATAGTTAATACATTATTAAGAAAAAATATAAGAAATATTTCAAGATGAGACCACCATTCAGCAAATTTTGAATTAGAAAATAAATTGTGTTTAATACAATAAATAAAATAAGGAGAAGATTCTTCTTCTTGTAATGTATAAGTCAATAATTGGTCACCAAATGGTGTATATGAATTTTCGGTTTCTAAATTTGACATGAAATACTCAAAATCTGTGGTGGTTGTTGGTATCCATTGGTTTAATGATGGAACAATACAATTTTTCTTAAAATAAAATTAATTAATTCAAAAAAAAAGAAGAATTTCTTTTTTGCTTTACTTCAAATTCTCGAAATTCTTTTGTATCAATTACTTTTTCATCGACAATTTCAAAAAAAAAATGTAAGTGATGATGATAAACAATAAATATCAATATGTAAATTTTTATAACCAATTGTTGTACTAAAATATTTTATTTCGTTTTAGTTTAATAATTAATCCATTAATTGCAGATGAGAAAAGTAATAGTGGCATACTTATTCATGAAGTTACTTGTGATTACTTTTGTTGTTCTGTTGTTGTTAAACATCATTCGTGTGAAAAAAGCCTTTTTTTCGTACTATGTCTGTTATGTACACGTGAAAAAATGAATCTTTCATTACGTGAATAATGTCGTATAACAACAAAACAACAACGGTAAGGGGTGTGGGTGTGTGCCCCGATATATCACGATAAACTCCCATACTCACACACCCACACCCTTTATGAAAATCATCGATAGCTCCTCTGTAGACATTTCCCAAAATAGCATAGGCTTTGAGTCTTTGATTAATGTTTTCAATAGCTGCTCGTGCACTATTAATATCACGATTAAAGTTCTTCTCTTCATCCGTTAATTCATGTCCATGAGGTTTTTTTTTGGAGTAATAACGTATTCTTCACCGATATATCCTTTATCAGCAATAATTTGAACTGATTCTTCTACATAATCCAACAGTCCAGAATTTCTTAAAATTGTAATATCATGTTTACTACCACGATAACAGTCTGATACGTGTACTATGTGATGGTTAAAGTCACAAGTTATTTGGACTTTTATGGCATAATTCGTTGAGCTTTTTCCATAATAATATGCTTTACGTTGGTTTGCATCAGAAGGCTCGGGAATCGCAATAGAAGTTGAATCAACTATTAACTTGTGATGTTGTTGAGGTCCATGTTTACTTCTTCTACTAGCTAAATCAGCTAGTAAAGATACTAATTCCTGATATACACATGAATGTAATATATCCAGAACTTCTGTTAAGAAATATTTCACTGTTGATTGACCCAAATTCAGCTCTGTAGAAATGTAGCGGTTTGAATGATAATGCTTCAAGTACCATAATGTAACTACGAGTAAATTCATAGGAGATAAATATGATCTGTCGGTAATATCTGTTTGTTGCTCATGTCGATGAAGACAATACTTTTTAAGTGGTTCTTCACACATATCATATAATTCTTGTACTTGTTCAACATCAAGTCCAGTATGTTGCACACAAGATTCATCACTTCGCTGCCATTCTGACCATGGACGTTGTTCTACAAGACATTAAAAAAAGCGGTTTTTTAGAAATAATTGCCAAATATTCTTAAAGCATAAAATAGTCGAATTACCAACGCAAATGTCAGCTGCGAAATTAATTTTACTTACTGTCATCGAGCGTATGAAATTCTTGTTGAATCGAAAGTTGTTTATCTCGTATCTCTTGTTGTTGATCTTCGTCCATCTCTACAATACAGGAACTGCAGCTACCACGATGCCGATAATAATTAGTGTATAAGCCTGATCTTCCTGATCCATTGCATGTCCATCGTAACATTGAGTGACAAACAGCACAATATTTTCGTTGATCAGTTATAACTGATCGACATTCAGAACAACTCCATTCAATGTGTGGAGAAGACATAGTAAAGAAAATATAAGGAAAGGGTGCACAAGTGAGATAAGGTCGAAGAAAAGAAAAAAGTGATCAAAGTGAGGAAAATCTGATAGACACAGAACAGAGATGGACAAAATCGCACCGCGCCTCCCCGCGCTTCCCCGCGCCACTGCTCGCGCCTAGGCGCTACGCACATCTCTCTTTCTCTTTGCTCTACCAATCAGTTTCTCAAACTTCACCGAGTACCGGGATGCTCTAAGCATGCGCTCATCGAAGCTCAGACTAGTGTAGCGTAGGCGTGAGCAACGGCGCGGGGAAGCGCGGTGCGATTTTGTCCATCTCTGACACAGAACGAAAAATGTGTAACTGAAACACATAGAGGCAATAGAATGAAGAATTATTGTGCATCAGTGTGTACCGAAAACGAAATGTTAATAAATTAAATGCAAAATACGTTTAATATAAGGATCATAAGAGAACATTTAATAATCCTCATTCCTTGCGACATATAGAGCTCAAACAACAGCGGATCATTAGGACTACATATGTACTACAACTGATAAAAAAATCATATTTTCATGATAACCTGTTGAAGCTGTATAAACAAATACATTAGGGGTATCCTAGTAACTGTTCACGCCCATATATATAAATATGCAACAAGACAGAAGATTTTTCAAATTGACTATCTCAGATTAAGACCTGCTCCTTCTTGAATAATATATCTTTTAATCAAGTAATTTTCGAAAAACGATCAAACACTCAAAAAAAAATCTTGTTCAATGAAATAGCGTTGACTTGCATCTAAATTCATAAAAAATTGAAATCATTTATGTATTCAATTGGATTTTATTATAATAATCTCCATATTTATTTTTTATTGTGACAGAAAACATGATCACAAAACTATTTTTAAAACTAAATGGAGAAAAGCTTCGGTGAAATATTTATATTCTTTGGATAATTTAATAACGATAATGTTCGGGTTTAAATGGACCAGCTGCATTTAAATCCAAATAATGTGCTTGTTCAGTAGTCATTTTACTTAAACGAACACCTAAATGATTAAGATGAGCAGCAGCAACTTCTTCATCAAGCTAGAAATGAAAAAAAAAATAATAGAAAAAAAAACAAACACTCATTTTTACCTTCTTAGGTAAAACATAAACACCGACAGCATAGTGACCTTTTTTAGTAAATAATTCAATTTGTGCTAATACTTGATTTGAAAATGAATTACTCATAACAAAACTTGGATGACCATGAGCACAACCTATAATAAAAAAGAACAATAATATTACATATTAATTGTTCTTTTTTTTTTAATTTTACCAAGATTGACAAGTCGACCTTCGGCAAGTAAAATAATTGAACGTCCATTTGGTAATTGATATCGATCAACCTTTTAAAAAAGTTTTAGAAATTAAATGATAAAGTTTTTTTTTTTGTTGTTGATTTACTTGTGGTTTGATCACTTCTTTTGAGACTGCATTTTTAGTTAACCAAGCAACATCAATTTCAATATCAAAATGACCGATATTACAAACAATTGCATTATCAGGCATTTGAAGCATATGTTGAGATAAAATAATATCTCGACATCCAGTTGCTGTTACAAAAATACGTCCTATTTTACTTGCTTCATCCATTGTAGTTACTTCATAACCTGAAATTATTTTTAGAAAAAAATGAAAAATATTTTATATGAAATAATGATATAGATTTATCATCTAACGAAGATATCTCAAAGTTTCAAACACAAAAAACGTCTACATTAGTAGCTTAGAATCGATCGAACAAAAAAGAAAAACAATAATTTTACTCTTCCTTTCTAAAAAAAAAAAATTCTTTACCTTCCATAGCTGCTTGTAAAGCATTAATTGGATCAATTTCTGTAACAAGAACACGAGCACCAAAATTTCTTAAAGCTCGTGCACTACCTTTACCAACGTCACCATAACCAGCAACAACGGCTACTTTACCAGCAATCATTATATCTGTTGCACGTTTTATTCCATCAATAAGTGATTCACGACAACCATATAAATTATCAAATTTTGATTTTGTTACTGAATCATTAACATTAATAGATGGTATTTTAAGTTTTTCTTGTTTAAGCATTTTATAAAGTGCATGTACACCTGTTGTTGTTTCTTCACTTATACCATATATACCAGATGTTAATTCTGGATATTTATCATGAACAATACCAGTTAAATCACCACCATCATCCAATATCATATTTAATGGTTTATTATCATTACCAAAATAAATTGTCTAAAATAATATATATATCAAATGTGAATTTTATTTTCGTAATAAAATAAATTTTTACTTGTTCAATACACCAAATATATTCTTCATCAGTTTCACCTTTCCAAGCATAAACAGGTATACCAACTTTAGCAATAGCAGCAGCAGCATGATCTTGTGTTGAAAAAATATTACAACTACTCCATTGAACCTATTATTAAATATAATAAGATTATTTATAGAAAAATAAAACAATTATACTAAATTAATATACTTCAGCTCCTAATGCAATTAATGTTTCAATGAGTACAGCTGTTTGAACCGTCATATGAAGACAACCAGCAATACGCGCACCTTTTAATGGTTGTGTTGGACCATAAGTACGACGTAATTGCATTAAACCGGGCATTTCATATTCGGCTAATGTGATTTCTCTTCGACCCCATTCAGCTAAACTTAAATCAGCTACTTTGTATGGTTGTTTTTTTGTTGGAACATTAGACATCGTTGTTGTGTTAGGACGTTCGTCGAAAAAAGAAATCTAAAAAAAAAAGCGTTAGTACAAAGTGCATCAAACCCTTGGCAAATAAATATAAAATGATAAAAGTACAAAACCAATACGTGTCCTTCATGCCAAGTACTATGAAATAGTGTCGTAATAGATAAATACTTACTCTTTTATAGATATTGATAACATCATGACTTACTTACTTGGTATTTTTTTTAAAGTTTGCCTCTAAAAGAATATTTTTTTTGTAGTGTCGCTCGTGTATGATATATTAATATGATTTTAAATATTACTTTCTGTAAAAATGAATCAAGTATTATATCATGTTATCCGTTTTTTTTCTTTTGCAGTTCAATTGTTAATAAGCATTTCATTCAATGCAGTTAAGTATTGAATATGTATCTTTGTAATGTAAACAAAATTACAATGAACGTCGTTTCTTTTTTTTTGTAAATTGAAGATTCTATTAACTATGTTTAATGTTTGAATATAATCTTTAAAGCAAACGGTATTTTAACGAATATTTTCATTATTATCAATCATTTATTTGTAATTCCTTAAATGACTTATATATATATATATGTAAACAAAACGTATATACACACGTTCGTAGACATATATGTAAATAGCTGCTTTCTTATCATAAGCATGCAAATAGAAAACGTTTTATTTTTTATCAGTAGTCTTGTGTATGATTATGAATCTATAATAAAAATTTGTTATTTATGGATTCTGTATTAATATAGGTATTGACTATTGATACATCACAACCTATTCAACGAAAATCATATTAATTAAAAATTTCATTATTTCCTAGAAATACAATCCGTGCGTCACTATAGAAGATGATTTCTATTTATCTGTGTCAATTTTAATTATTTAAGATAATGTTCAAATAGCATGTTATCTAATATAAACAGAAGAAACATCATAATAACGATGAATATCACATTATATAGCTGTTAATACTCTTTGAGTAAGGATATTACATAGAAATATATATCAAAACTACTTTATATTTATTATTTCAATTATTGAAATAATAAATCAGATAGGTATACCGATTGCGAACATTGTTATAAGGATGAATATAAATCATTAAATGAATTAATTCAAGTTTTCCTTGACGTCGTATTAAAGAATCTAAATCACATACTTATGAATCATCAAACAATTCTTTCGAAGAACTTCCACATTTACTAAATATATACTTTTTAATTTATAAAACATAATTCTAAATAGGTAGTATTTCAGTATAAGATAAACACAAGTGGCGCGACAATGAATCTCTTCTTGTACTTTCATCTCTTCAAGCCATTGCTCATGATAAGAAATTCAAATTTCATCGATAATGACAGATTCGTTTGTGTTTTGTATTGTCTACAAAACGTGAAGTAACCAGGAGTCGTTTATTTTCTAGAATTTGTTATTATCTTCAAAAAACGTCTTGAGCAGTAGCATTTAATGAATCTAATTCTTATCATCGTCTAGGAAAAAACCTATTTGCAGTAACTTTTTCGAGCGGCAGACAACTGCTCAGCGGCTCTCAAACTTATTTGACCGAGTTTATTTTCAATCTTTTTTTACGTAAGTCATTTTTGTGCTTTCCTTAATGTTAATTTATGCTCGATCAAAAAAACTTTGCGGAGAGCTGTTTACTCTATCATTTTGAATAGTTTACGGGTCTCAGAACATGAAAAACTTGAGTTTCGATCTTCAAAAGATTCTACTCATTGAAAATTCTTATTGGAGATGAAATTCTACATTTAAATCATTATTTGAATTGTTATTTATGTTTAAGACAACGAGAAAAAATTGAAAATAAAATACATCAAATAATTCTTGATGAACATTGGCGGAAGATTTAGTCTCATATGTTATTCAATTATCAAAACATTCATTTCACATTTTAGATTTTCATTTGATGGCGCTAGATGATTAAAAGTACTATTGGTTAATATATTTAGCAAACGAATAACATTCTCAATGACTGATATAAAATAATAATGTTGAAATAAGTTTCAATTACAAAATTATTTTAATCATCGTACAATGCCAGCTAAAAAGACTCGATTTACGACTCTTGATCTAAAAGCATGTATTGCAGCAGTTCGTAAACGGTATTATTATTTTCATATGACTTTTGTTAATTTTAAACAAAAAAAAAATATTTATTTACATATAGTTTTCTTGGTGTTCGAGTTGTTAATATTTATGATGTTGATAATAAAACTTATTTAATTAAATTTTCAAAGTAAAAATTTTC